CTTGTGTGATTAATAACTGCCAACACTATTACTGTTGCAGTGGATAATACAGTAAAAACCCATATAGGCGTCAATAAAGATTTTGTTCACTCTTTGACTAAGCATTATTAATGGCTCGCTAACACATTGGTTAAAAATATTCTGTTAAACGTATACAAGTACTAGTATTTCTTTAATTTTTATTATTTAAATTTAAAATCGAATAACAATGACTGATGTACATTTTACTGATGCTACACAATGTAAGTTTTTTATATTGTTGATTGAATATATCGATATTTTTGACACTTCAAAAATTGTTTTATACACATTTTTTTATAGCCACCTCTTCCGCAACTGTTCCACACTACCATTCGGTTAAAAGTAGGGCTAACAACAGTAGGGTAAAATTGAAATGGTTGCGCATACAATTGTAGGAGTGGTCAAATACGATTTTGAGATTATGCTCGCTGATTATGGAAGACGTGTAATTGGGCAGGGGTAGCGGATTCACGCTAGCGCATATCGATGGACTCATGCCAGCGTATACAAGTATACGCCCCTCACCGGCTCATCATATATTCCGGTCCCACCCGAAACTTACCATAAAAGAGCAATCATCAACCCACAAAACATCGATCAGTCCTGTTTCAAGTGGTTCATTTTGGCGAGACACGTTAAGTGTGATCACAAATACCGCGTTGATCGAAAATATTTTAATTTGGGACACAGGAATGATTTCAAGTGGCGTTTGACGTTCCCCACATCTGTGTCCCAAATTAAAATATTTGAACGTTCACGTGTACGACTTGGTACGGGACGACGTTAAGATGGGGAGGTTGGTTTATCCGCAAAGAGTCGTCGAACAAGAACAACAAAATCATTTTGACCTGTGTATATCGATGACTCTGGCAAGTATCATTACGCGTACATTTCAGATTTTTTGAAGCTCGTGCGCAGCTAAAAAACTAAACACGAATGCCACATATACACTTACAAACGTTACTTCACCAGATTCAATGATATATCTAAAAAACATATTCTTCAAGGTCAATAAGCATTGGAGCAAAACAAGTTTATATGTGGCAAAAATAAACCAATTTTACCCGTTATGTCAGCAGAGGGTAGTAAGGTCGCTTTTGACGCTTAGGAAAAGACGCAACGGCTACCGTTTTACATCAACACCGATTTAAAAGCCTTGCTGGAACAAACTGACTATCGTATAGGTGCCTATATTAGGACATTGCACACACACCATCCCATGAGATACGGGTTCATGGTGAAAACATCGGATTTTGTGCCCTCCGAGCTCCTTGAACTCTACAGTATACCACAATCACCGATGATATACCGTGGGTCTGAGGATCGCGAAGAGGTCGCCAAGGCATTCGTAATGGCTGTAACGGAAGTGACGCGCAACATTTCGAAATTGTTGCGTAAAATGAACGTTCCCATTATCAGTTCGTGGCAAACCTCGTAATCGTTGGAAACGTTATAGTAAATATTTATATATGGCCTCCGCTTGGGGTATCCTTCACAGGATAACGGGTGTGACAATCCCGCGGACCTCAGTCAGGTGGTGCAGCCCGAAGGATGTTTAGGATCGTCTCAGGTAAGTAGGTGTACACTAAGATCGTGACACTGAAGCACCATCACCACCATCCCATTGGGCCCTCCATTAATGGGGGTTGACGTTGGGCCAACCACTGAACTTGTAAAACCAAAACAGGTTCCGAAACAAAACAAACCTCAGTCTCGGATAAACAGTAATAAATTGGAAAAGTTGAGTTTAGGAACATGGAACGTGCGCACGTTATATGCAACGGGCGCTTTGACGACAGTCGTTTCAGCAATAGAAACGTACAGATTAGATATAGTGACCATTCAAGAACTGAGATGGACAGGATCAGGAAGCATAAGGTCAAATAACCATACAGCGTTTTACAGTTGTGGCGTAAATCACGAAGCTGGAGTAGGCTTCATAATCAAGAATGATATACTCACATATATTAAAAATTTTATATATTTATAATGACAGACTGTGCTACATACAAGTCGAGTGTAAATGGTTAAACATGACATTAGTGAACGGCTATGTGCCAACAGAGGAAAAAGGAAATCAAATTAAGAAAAATTCTATAGCGAGCTAGAGACCATATATGAATGCATACCGAAAAGAATACCGAAAATAATAATTGGAGACTTTAACGCAAAAATCGGTAAAAAAAGAGTTTTTGAACCTATAATCGACCAAGAAAGCCTGCATCAAGTATCCAATGACAACGGAATAAGACTCATTACATTTGCAGGATCTAAGAATATGCGGATCAGTAGTACCTTTTTCGCACATAAGAGAATACACAAACAGACATGGATGTCACCAAACGGAACCACAAAAAACCAGATTGACCACGTAGCGACAGATAACATAATAAAACATTGGATCCAGTATGTAAGAAGTCACAGAGGGGTAGGTGCCCACTCAGACCACTTCCTAGTAAAAAAGATACTCCGATTACAACCACCAAGACAATGGACGCGGAAGCCTAGAGATAAAACAAAATTGAACGTAAAAAACATGAAAAAGGAGAGTATAGTAAGTAAATACAAACAAATAATGATGGCTAAGCTAAACACCGTAGAACAGTCACAATACATTCAAAAGAAATGGGGAAATCTAAGAACCATTATTAAAACAACAGCGGAAGAAACAATTGGAGTAGAGCCCAGGAGAAGACAGAATAAATTGAGGTTCAATGATAACTGCAAGAAGACGATAGAAGACAGAAACAAAGCAAGACTCGAAGTATTAAGATCTAATACAGAAGAAAAAAGGCAAATACTAGCACAAAAACAGAGAGCATACAAACAGGTAATAAGAAGGGAAAAAATAATCTGGGAAGAACAAAAAATAAAACCATTGAAGAGGAATACCTGAATTCCCGCACCTTTTTGGAATAACAAATGAGCTAACGAAAAAACGTAAACCAAGAACCATGATAATGAAAGATAGCAATAACGTACTGATCACAGAAGAAAAAAAGATTGCGGAAGAATTCAGAGAGACGTTTAAACAGTTATTGGGAAAACCAGTGGATACAATCGAAGAGAGTACAACATACCAAACTGCAGAACCTGAGGATAAAATACCAAGTAAAGAAGAAATAGAAGTGGCCATTAAAATGCTTAAGAATAATAAGGCCCCAGGAGAAGACTCGATCATGGCTGACCTCCTGAAAAACGGTGGACAAGAACTAACGCAGGAAATATGGGACCTATTAAAAGAAGTATGGAAAACTGAAAGGATTCCACCGGAATGGAACCTATCGCTAATATGTCCTATATATAAAAAAGGGGACCCCATGGATGTAAAGAATTATAGGGGAATATCCTTACTTAACACCATATACAAGATTCTATCGAACACTCTACTAAACCGATTAAGACCATACGCCAATAACATCATAGGAGAATATCAGAGTGGATTCATGTCAGGCAGATTAACAATAGACTATATTTTCACGCTTAAACAAGTAATAGAAAAATACTATGAGTTTAACAGACCTTTACATTTAATCTTTATAGATTTTAAACAAGACTCCGTACAAAGAGCAGAAATATGGAAATGCTTAAAGCTGTTAAGAGTCTCATCAAAACTAATATCGATGATAAGAGTGAGTACGGAAGGTTCAAGATGCGCAGTCAAGTTTGGTCACAAAAAATCAGAAGAATTCCAAACAACAACAGAATTAAAACAAGGTGATGCACTATCACCAATATTATTTAACATAGTACTAGAAATGGCAGTAAGGGAAGTACAAGTAGAAAATCAAGGAATTAATTGTGGCCGAAACCTTCCATTACTAGCATATGCTGACGACGTGGTAATATTAGGCGAAAGTGAGCAGAATATTCAAAAAGCAACGAAATTACTGATACGAAGTGCTAAAAAACGGGGACTCAACATTAACGAGACTAAAATAAAATACATGCGAATAGGTAGGAACAAAGGTCAGATGCGAAATGCAGCTAGATTACAGTTCGAAGGATATATGTTTGAGGAGGTAGATAATTTTAAATATTTAGGCACTAACTTAAGTAGCACAAACGACAATTACGAAGAAATAAATAAACGTATGACATCAGGAAACAAATGTTTTTACGCCCTTTCGGGGTTGCTGGAGTCGAAGCTACTGTCGAAAAAATCAAAAGAACGACTTTACATGGTACTAACTAGACCAGTGATAATGTATGCATGTGAGACATGGCCAAGGACCCAAGGAGATGAGAATAGACTAGCTATAATGGAGAGTAAATTCCTTAGGAGGATTTATGGACCAAAGAGAAACGAAGACTAAACATATGAAATTAAGACTAACAGAGAACTGCAGGAATTATTCGGAAAACCAGACATAATAGCGGAAATACGCCACAAGAGACTGAGTTAGCTTGGACATGTACTAAGGGCTAAGTCAATAGCAAATGCGGTATTAAGATAGATTCCTCAAGGAAGGAGGCCAATTGGAAGACCGAAACAGAGATGGATGGACAAAAATAAAAAAGAACTAAATTAACTTGGGATAGACAATATTACTGAAGCGACTATGAACAGAGACAGATGGAAGGAGATTTGTTTTGCAGCAATGGGCCTTAATGGCCTTTAAAGCTGGAAGAAGAAGAAGAAGAATATACGGCCTCAATATTTATATTATATCAAATTTTTATTCTAACTATTATTGATCAGTACTACCTTATGATGATCCAAGATTTTTACACTGACTGTTGACTTTAAACAACCTCATTATGGATGAGAGAGATTGTAAGTACAAACTAAATGTATTTTTTAAGTTCCCCTATGGTCACCCACCTAGTAAACAATGCAGTCAATCATCAGTGCTAAGATGACGACTGATTAATCCACAGAATTTTGATTATATTTTAGAAATAGTATTTCTGAAAAAGTAATATGGCAGAAAGTCTGATAATAAAATCAATACAAACTCAGATACATGAAAGCTCAAGGTAATTTATTTTAAAATAATATAATTATAGGCAACGTAGTTGAATATAATACAATTAATGTTATTTCACAGGAAATTAACTAGAGCACCCATTTCTCAAAGCATAGTCGATTATATAAGGATAATTAGCATGAATAGCTTCATAAAGGGTTCCTTTACTCCAAGGACAATTATTTTCATGGGCATATTTTAAGCACTGATATCGACCTTTTTCAGCAGCCAGTCTTGTTGTGCTATCGTCCCACTCACACCCATTTTCATGAACATATTTTAGGCAATCTAAATGGCCATTTGCAGCAGCTCCACTTGTTGTTTCTTTATCCCATTTACATTTATTTTCATGAGCATATTTTAAACATTTTAATTTACCATTAGAAGCAGCTTCTCTTGTTGTGCCTTCGTCCCACTCACACCCATTTTCATGAGCATACATTAAGCAATCTAAATGTCCATTTGCTGCAGCCGCTTTCGTGGTACCTTCAACCCAATCACATCCATATTCACGGGCATATTTAAGACAATTTAATTTACCATTCTCAGCTGCAGCAACTATTGTATGTTTATCCCAATTACATCCCTTCATGTTAGCATATATCAAACACTCTAAACAGCCACTTGCTGCAGCAGCTCTAGTTGTACTATCATCCCAAACACTTCCATTTTCATAGGCATATATTAAACAGTCAAAACAGCCACTCGATGCAGCAGCACTAGTTGTGGTTTCATCCCAAACACATTTATTTTTGTGGGCGTACTCTAGACATTCAAAACAGCCACTTTCTGCAGCTGCTTTGGTTGTACTCTTATCCCAAACACATCCTTTTTCGTGGGCGTACTTTAAACAGTCTAGACTGCGACTTGCTGCAGCAGCACTAGTTGTGCCTTCATCCCATTTGCAACCATTTTCATGGACATATTTTAAACATTCTAGTTTACCACTTTGTGCAGCCGCTTTTGCCGTCAATTCATTCCACGGACATTTATTTACATGAGCATATTTTAAACATTCCAAATGACTTCTCAAGGCAGCTGCTATTGTTGTTCTTTCATTCCACGGACATCCATTTTTATGAGCATATTTTAAACATTCTAATTGACCACTAGAAGCAGCTGCTTCTGTTGTTCTTTCATCCCATGGACATTTTACTTCGTGAGCATATTTTAAACATTCCAAATGACCATTTGAAGCAGCTGCTATTGTTGTGCTTTCATCCCAATCGCACCCATTTTCATGGGCATAAATTAAGCAATCAAAATGTCCATTAGAAGCAGCTGCTTCTGTTGTTTTTTTATTCCACGGACATTTATTTTCATGAGCATATTTTAAATATTCTAATTTACCATTAGAAGCAGCTTCTTCTGTTATTCTTTCATCCCACGGCCATCCATTTTCATGGGCATATTTTAAAACGTTTATACTACCTTTATAGTCAGCCACAGTAATGAATACTTTTTTCCATTCCACTACATATTTATCAACATATTTTAAAATATCTACATAATCATAATCAATAGCATTACTTGCAATATTCTCTGGATTCCATTCACAGCCATTTTCATGAGCATATTTTAAACATTCTAATTTACCATTAGAAGCAGCTTCTATTGTTGTGTATTCACTCCATGGACATCCATTTTTATGAGCATACTCTAAGCAATCTAATTTACCATTAGAAGCAGCTACTTCTGTCGTCTTTTCACTCCATGGACATCCATTTTTATGAGCATATTCTAAACATTCTAATTTACCATTGGAAGCAGCTGCTTCTGTTGTATCATTATTCCACGGACATCCATTTTTATGTGCGTATTTCAAAATGTTTATACTACCTTCAAAAGCAGCAAAAGCAGTTAGAATGTCATTCAATTCACTTAAATTTTCGCAAGAATATTTTAATATTTGTAATTTATCATTTTTAATAGCAATTGATATAATTTTGTTTCTATTCCATTTACAGTCATTTTCATGAGCATATATTAAGCATTCTAAGTGGCCATATTTTGCAGCCTCTTCCGTCGTGCTTTCATTCCATGGACATCCATTTTTATGAGCATATTCTAAACATTCTATGTTACCATTAGAAGCAGCTGCTTCTGTCGTCTTCTCATTCCATGGACATTCATTTTTATGAGCATATATTAAGCATTCTAAGTGACCATACTTTGCAGCTGATTCCGTCGTGCTTTCATTCCATGGACATCCATTTTTATGAGCATATTCTAAACATTCTAATTTACCATTAGAAGCAGCTGCTTCTGTCGTCCTTTCATCCCATGGAAATTTTTTTTCATAAGCATATTTTAAACATTCTAAATTACCATTAGAAGCAGCTTTAATAATCGTATCTTCATCCCATTCTAATTTATTTTCATAAGCATATACTAAAAAATCCAAGTCTTCATTGGCAGCTGCATCTTCCTTAGATTTAATCGCTATATAAAGAAAATTGTTAATTAATTTTTGATTTATTAAAATTATAATATTTTTATCAATAAAACTTTTAGTAAAATATTTTATATAATTAACATATAGGCAGTTCAATTACAATTTAATTAATTTTAATGTTATTAATATAATGATTCAAGGTCAACTTGAATTATTATTACTTTATTCTTAAACATAGTTTAGCCTCCATTTTTTTGATTAATTATAAATGTTTTACTTATACAGGTGATTTTTTTATCATAACCCACTCAATTACTTACAGAATAATAATAAATTTAACACTTTTTTTTATAATCTTTAGTTTTACATCATTCTTGAATTATTAACTATATAATACTTTTTAAGTTCATCCTTTATGCCTGGTAAGGGTGTCAACTTTGTTTTTTTAAATGGGAACACATATTTTGAATTTAATAAAATGTATGAGTTTTTAATTTAATAGTAAATGGCATTTGAATTTTTAATATAACTTTATTTGTTTATTAGACATAAACATTTAAAGTTTCAAATTTTTGAGTTAATAAACATATATAATACACAAGAGATTACAAATACAGGTAGCTAATTTGTTTTTCATGGCATCGATATTAGCAGATACACAGTATTGTTATTATTAATGATAGTAAGATACATTGTTGTGAGTTTATAAATACACTAACTGACAATACAAAAATTACATTATTCAAATAATATTCGAAAAATAATTTCAAATTAATTTATTAATAAATTATACCCAAAAGTGCAGGAGTAGAGATTAATATAACATAACCAAGACATTAAGCAAAGTAAGAAGTAAAAACAATAATAATAATTATTGGGTATACAATTGGTATTAAATATATAAAAATAAAAGAAATATTAGTATAGATTCTTTAACCATTAAAATATTTCAATCGATCTCTTTATATTGGGTATAAAACTAAAAATAATGTCAACTTTATGATAGATTTCATTGCATTCCATTAGCATACGGTTGATCGGAGCAAAAGAATTGTAGTTCTGTTGAATAGGGGAAATATAAAATAACGTCTGAGACTGTAAATGGGCTGAAAGAACATTAAAAGGTATAGTATCATGTATTTCTGGACAGTCAATTTTATTATTCAATAAACCATGTATCCAGTAAACGTCAAAAATTTTACGTTTCTTAGTTAGACTGGTAATTCCATAATCTGAAATAACTACACTCAACTTAACATCGATACCACCGTGTTCTCTCACTTTCATTACTAACATACGTAGAAAACATTTTTAAATTTTTTCAAGTTTATTACTTAATTTAGCTTGATATGGTGACCGAATAATTGAACAATATTTAACTATAGAACGCACTAGAGCGCAATACAAAACTTTTAAACAAATAGGATTTGAAAACTACCAACAATTTCGTTTAAGAAAGCCTAACATCCGCAGAGCTGTATTATATATATAAATGTAATGTGTTTGGCAAAAGATAAATTTGAGGAAAGAATTACACTTAGATTTTTAATATGTAAAACATTTATTAGATTAATGCTATTATATTATATAAATATAGTTCAAATGAACATTTACAACAAAAAGTTATCTGAAAACATTTATACACATTCAAGCATAAGCCATTGGCAACGTACCAGTTATAAAATCTGCATAGGTCCTCTTGGAGATTATGACTGTTAGCAACTGAGCGGATACTAGAATACATTTTTACATCATCGGCAAAAAACAAACAGTTAGCATGATAGAAAACGTCAGCAATTTATGAAAATTAAGAAGAGTAATGGAGATCAATGCCCTGCCTGGGGAACCCCAGAAGTAACATGGATTTTCAATTCAAATAATACATTATTAAAATAATTAAAAAATACTATTATATAATATGAATTAATTAGATAATATAAATCAGGGACTTGAACTAAACCAGTTCTCGTTCAAAAACATTTTTCATGATCAGATTCCAAACCGAACATTTTTATACCTAAGCGGAATAAAAAGTGCCACCAATTAATGGCTAGTGATAAAACAACAAAACTCGCATGTCAGTTTCACTTCATATTTAACAATGTAATAAATATTAAAATATTAGTTCAATACTTCTATCTACCAGTCTTTTTTTTTTTAATTCTATTGTTTAAACTAGTTAAAAATTTATGTTGTCATTTAAATATCTAAAGATAGTATTTTTATAAGGGTTTAGGTATATATACAGTGTTTGGATGGAAATAGTTTCAGGAATAAATTTATAATTAAAAATCGTCTCATAAAGGAGTTCTTATTTATATAAAAAGAAGAAAGTACGGAACGAATTCAATTTTCGAAGGGAAAATGAGCTTTTTTCGTTAAGATGAACACCGATATTGAACAAATATCGAATTTTTATATAAAAATCACCGTCTATCATTATTTTGTTTTTATACTTAAAACTGCTATAACTTTTTGAAAAGTAAACAAAACAAAATATAATTTTTTTATGCAATTACTTTAGATATTTCCTAATCATTTAGTATTAATTTATCAAAATCTGACCATTTACCAGCCCACAGGACTGTATTAATAATATTTTTAATTGCTGTTTAGCAATTTCTGCACAAAAATGTAACTATGTACACTTGAGTTTTGAAAATTAAAGCACTATTTTTACTTAAGTTGGTATTTTTTTTAAATTAACATAACTTTATTGTATTAATATCAAAATAAATAATTTCAATAAAAATCATAGTAATCATTTCTATGAAACTCTTGATGTTTAAATAGATGCTACAATTGAAATATTCTGAGCGTAAGTTATAACCTATAGTATTCTATAATATACTAATATTCAGAAATATTCTGGGACTACTTTCACCTATGATGTGTTGTTAAATTTTATTTTACCTTGATTTTGTAGATTATTTTTTTTACATGTAAAATATTGTTTTTGAATAATTTAATTATTATCTCAAAAGTTAGATGTGATAGAAAAAATCTAATTACAGATTTTAAATTAGCGTAATAATTGGTTTAGAAAAAGTATATAATTGTCACTGATGAAAATTCCTTGTAGATCAGTTTAGACCAAATTATTTAAAAATTATTTTCTGAACATTTTTTCTTCAAGCGCATTCATTTTTTATAGACATTTTCATAAAACTAACGAAATATATGACTACTATATAATTTCTCCATAAAATTTACAAAATGAAATTATTGTATATCAGTTTCATACTATAATTAAAACTATAAATTACAAAGTATTTATTCATATATCAAACTTATAAATCAAATTACTACTAATCAGGATATATATAAGGTAATAAGAGTTGTAGTTGCTTTTGAAATAATATATACAGATTATTTTATGTGTAAACACTTGTTTTTTACTAATTAGTAATAATCTCAAGTTGCGATTTATTTGTTGAACGAGTAACACGTATGTTTTGCTTTACAGAGTCGAATTTGTGCGTATTGTTTAATAAATACTCAATAACGAAAAATGTTTTCGCTTACTACAGTAAGTGTACCGATAGTTATTTAAGTCAAATTTCGCGACGGCTCATGTATGATAATATAATTACACAGCCAAATCAAATTGTAATTAATCAAAGTATTTTGAATCAACTAGAAAGTGAAAATTAATCATAAAGAAAAATGGTAGTAGAGCTCCAAATGAGCATTGAGCAGTTTAAAACTCAACAAGTTAATCAGCATGTAAATACCATATATGATAATAATAAAATAAAAAAATTTATTACTAATAAATTATTAGTGATAAATCGGGCTGTAGTTCATCAAAAAGACAAGTAAAAGAAATAGAAAAAAATTTATAAACCACCTCCAATAACTGCCAGTGGTATTAAAAAAATCAACGATTTAATTTCTAATCTAGCTCGCGAAGAAGCCATAGGTTATGAGCAACAGTTAAAAACTATTGCTAACGGCGATATTAAAATTATGACTGGTGATGAACACCAGTTCAGACGTACTCTATAAGTACTTGAAAAAAATAAAATTGAGTATCAGAGATATCAATTAAAAACAGAAAAAAAGTTTCGTATTGTATTTAGAGGATTACACCCTCACACTAAAGTATGTGAAATTAAAAGAGCCCTAACAGATAATGGTCATTATGTAAGTAATGTCACTAACATCCAAATTAGGAAAAAAATAAATCCTAGTCACAAAAATAGTGAAAAAACCGTAATATAATTACCGTTATATATACGACTTAAATAGTTTATGTTATCTTAAAATAAAAGTAGAACCTCCAAAGAAAAAAAAATTGTGCCCAGTGTAAAAACTGCCAAGTTTATAGACATACTCAAAATTAGGTAATGAGAACATTGACATAGTTCTTATTTCAGAAATACATTTCATCCCATGGACTTCTTTGAAAATAAAAAATTACAATATCAAATCTACCTTACATCCAAGCAGTAGAGCACGTAGTGGTACAGCAGTTATTATAAAACAATGCATAAAGTATTTTGAGCTTGAAAAATATTTAAAAGTGTACATACAATCAAAAAATGGCAGAGTCATTAATGAGAGTAATGATTTCTCAGTTTCGGCAATTTATTGTATTGCGTACTGATATGGACAAAGCAGAAGTATATGCACTTCATTTAGAATATGTTTTTCAACCGAACGACATAAACTAAAAACTTTACCGAGTAGAATATCAATCATCAAATGAAATTAATTACAAAATACGGCACTTAACACCAGAAATTGCATATGAAATTGATACAAATATCAACCCTAAAAAGGCACTGGGTTATGATGAAATCAGCCCTCGTGTTCTGAAAGAATTACCAAAAGCTATCATTCATCTAACTCATATTTACAACGCCATAATACGCACATATTATACCCAGAACAAAGAAAAAAAAACCCAGCACAGGGGGGTCGCGGCACAGTGGTGACGTGGCATAGTTGGATCAAGTATAATGATATCTGACAGTGATTAAAATCACTATAAAAAAAAAACGCTTCGATGCAAATCTTTAGATAGTGTTTAATTTTAAAAAATTGGTGGATTATTCCAAAAGCTTCATAAACTGCTAGTTCCTTATTAATATCCTGATTAAGACAAAGTATGTCGAATAAAAAAGAGATTATTAGAAAATAGTATTTCCCATAAAAAAATTATATTGATCAATACACTTTTCAATAAGTTATAGCATTATAATGTTAAAAATGTAAAAAATAAAATTGAGAATTTTCACACAATAATAGCATTTGGTAGCCATTTTCACCTTGAACATAAAATAAAGTCCGAAATTTTTTTTTTCCATGATAAAGTATATTACATTAGCTTTAATTTAAGATATATATAAAAGTGTCAGACCTTCCGGAACATTTTCAAAAGTTAAGTTGAAAAAATTAATTTTTTGTGAAAAAGTTGTCATTTTAAATCCCTCCTTGTGGGCAGATAAAGGGTCAAATTTACAAAAAAAATATATCAAATGATAGATAAAGACATCAAGCATCTATAAAAAAAAAATAATATTGATATGTTCATTTTTAAAAAAGTTATGGCAGTTTTTAGTAAAAAAAATTTCGAAAATTTCGAAAATTAGCGATTTTTAAATTCGTAATTTTTTTGGAGGTTTCCCCCATTTACGGGGAACGAGGGAATTTTTTTCAATTTTTGAGGGTAATGTCTTCGACTAGATAC